CCCCGCAAGATGGAGAGTATATATTCAGTACTCCCATCTTGGACAATAGTCGCGTGAGTGTCGAAGCATGCAGGGTCTTGGTAAAGAGATCAGCCAACTACTCAGAAGAAGAAACGTGGGCAGTGACAACATGCCCAGTCAAGACGTTGTCACGAACAAGATGGCAGTCCAGCTTGATGTGCTTGGTGCACTTATGGAACACGGGGTTGGTAGCTATATGTATCGCGGCTAAGTTGTCACAATATAAGGTGGCTGGATCAGAAATGGTAACACAAAGGTCTTGGAGAAAATATCGAAGCCATGCGATTTCACACACGACAGCCGCCATGGCCCTATATTCCGACTCGGCTGACGATCGTGAAACTGTGTTCTGCTTTTTCGATTTCCAAGCAACAAGAGACTTCCCAATAAACACACAAAACCTAGTCGTTGATCTCCTAGTGTCAAGACAATTTGCCCAATTTGCATCGGAGTAGGCAATGAGTTTCAACGAGGAGGTGGTAGGAAAAAATAAACCTTGGCCTAGGGTCCCTTTAAGATACCGAAGAACTTTGAGAAGGGCATTATAATGGGGTACTCGTGGGGTCTCCAAGAACTAACTCAAAAGATTGACACTGTAACTGAGGTCAGGCCGTGTATTGGTCAGGTAAAGGAGCTTGCCAACCAATTTTCGATACTAAGTAGGATCGTGAAACACATCACCTTGGTCTTTCTGGAGTTTGATATTCGGTTCCATTGGCAGAGAGGAAGTTCGGGCAGCAAGTAAACCAGTCTCAGAAAGTATATCCAGGGTGTACTTGCGCTGACAAATTTGGCTTCCATCCTTTGAGCGAGCTATTTCCATGCCAAGAAAATATTTGAGTAAGCCCAGGTTCTTGATTCTGAATTTGGTGGACAAAAATTTCTTGACCTCATCGGTGGAAGTCTGATCTAAACTCATGACAATAATGTCATCTACGTAGACCAATAGAGCTGTGAAAGAAGAAGTCGTGTGTTTGATGAACAAATTATAGTCTGACTTAGACTGCACAAAGCCAAACTCGGCCAGCGAAGATGAAAGTTTTATGTTCCACTATCGTGATGCCTGTCGAAGACCATAAATGTTTTTTCTCAATTTACAAACTTGATTCTCTTTTGAGGAAGCTAGACCGGGAGGAAGCCGCATGTATAATTCTTCATCAAGGTCTCCGTATAGAAATGCGTTATTAATGTCCAACTGCTGCAAATCCTATCCTTTTATGGAAACTACAACAAGCAAAGTGCGAATGGAAATCATCTTTGCAACAGGAGAAAAAGTGTTGTGAAAATCTATTCCTTCACACTGAGTGAAGCCCTTCGCCACCAAGCGTGCTTTAGCACGTTCAACAGATCCGTCAGCTTTGAATTTGTAGCGAAAAATCCATTTGCAATCAATCGGTTTCTTGCCAGGAGGTAAGTCAACGATGGACCATGTTTCATTAGTCTCTAAAGCAGTGAGTTCCTGCTCCATCGCCTTGCGCCAGATGGGGTCTTTGAGAGCTTGAATGTGTGACTTGGGTTCGGTATGGATGGAGATGTAAGTGGTAAATGCTCTAAATGATGGAGATAAAAACTTGTAAGATATGCAGATGATAAGGGATATGGATTATGCAAACCTATGCGAGATGGAGATCTAGTGGCTTCCAACTTGGAGTTCAACGTCAATAGAGAAAATGCATTGCAGTGAAAATCCTTGAGATATGCCGAGGCGGTTCGAATTCTGGTTGACCGCTGTGGGGTTGGCAAGGGAGTGTTGTTGGTGAGGTTGGTAGTGTGACTGTTGTCGATGGAGGTAGGGGAAGAGACATGATCTTTCTGGTGAGGGACTTCACTAAAATCTGTATGCACAGGAGGTGTTTGATTGAGGTGGTCAGTGGGGAAAGGAGGCAAATGGGTTTGTGTTTGTTTGAGAGGAAAGATGTGTTCGTGGAACACCATATCACGGAAAAGGAAAATCTGATTGGTGGTAGTGTCAAGGAGCTTGTATCCTTTGACTCCATATGGGTAGCCAATGAACAAGTATTTTCTAGCTCGGGGTTCAAATTTGGAGCGGCCATGGTTTAGTGTAGACGCAAAACAGAGGCAGTCAAATGTTTTGAGATGGGAATATATGGGTTTTTGGTTGTAGAGTTTTTCAAAAGGTGATTGGTAGTGTAGATTAGGAGAGGGTGTTCGGTTGATCAAATAAACGGCAGTGATAACAAATTCTGTCCAATATCGCATAGGAAGTCCTAATTGAAATTTTAAGGCTCTAGCGACGTTCAATATATGTTGATGTTTTCGCTCAGCGAGAGCGTTTTGCTGTGGAGTGGCAACACGTTAGTTGATGAATTGTGCCTTTGGAATTGTAAAATTTGGGCATATGAAATTCGGCACCGTTATCAGTTCTGATTATTTTGATTTGGGTGTTGACTTGTGTGGATATAAGGGAAAATAAATTTTGAATTGAAGTTCGGGCTTCTAATTTGTTTTGCAACAAATAGATCCAAGTGCATCTGGTAAACTGATCTACGATTGTAAGAAAGTAACGAGTGCCATTGTAGGCTTGTGTGGAATTTGGTCCCCAAATATCTGCTGAAATTAAATCAAAAGGCTTGGTAACCGTGCTGATAGACTGAGAAAATGGAAGTTTATGTTGCTTAGCAAGTGGACAAATTTCACAAGAGAATTGAGATAAACTTGTAAGCCTTGAATTTAATCTTTGAATTTCATTTAATACATGATGTGTCATGGAATTATGCCTCAGTCTATAATGCCATAATTTGTAATCATCAAACTTTGAAGTACTGGTGGTGTTAACGTAGCTAGAACAGGAATTAGAAAGAAACATTTGTAAAGTGTTGGAAGCTGGTGTTGAAGGTTGAAGATGGTAAAGGCCATTATGCATTGTCCCCATGCCAGTCGTCTTCCAAGATGAAAGGTCCTATATGTAGCAAGAGTTAGAAAAAAATATGAGACAACAATTGGAATGTGTAGTTAAAGATTTAGCTGAGAGCAAATTAAAGGAGAAGGCTGGCAAGCATAGCACATGCTTGAGAACGATATGATCAGAGAGATGAATATCACCCACATGCGTAGCCAATGTGGTGGTGCCATTTGGAAGTTTGATGGTGTGGGAAACAAAAGACATGTTATGCGTGAAAAGATGGGGGCCACAGATCATGTGATCTGTAGCTCCAATATCAATTATCCAAGAGGAAACTGATTTTGTGAAGGTGTGTGATGTGTGTGTGAAATGGCAGGAGTGAATACTAGAGACAGGGGAAATTTCGGTGATTGAGGAACTGGAACATGCATGGTTTGCTGCGGAGGTAACTACCGGAGACTGAGAGGATTGGAGCAAGGCGATGAGATGGTTATACTGCTCTTGAGTAATAGATGGTCCATTGCTTATTTGTTCATGTTCAAGTGAAGATTGATTAGCGTAGGATTTAGATCTGGAGTTGTTTCTGTGACCTAGAGGAAAGCCATTGAGCTTGTAGCATTTATCTTTGGTATGGCCTGGTATGTTGCAATATGTGCATACAGGAAGATTGGGGTTGGCTTTGAAGTATCGTTCCAGTGAATGGCCTGAAATGTTGTAGTGGGAACAGAATAATCGATCCTTACGTGAGGAAGAATGACTTCATTGGTTGGGTCCTTTTGCCGCCATTGCAATCGGAGCAGAAAGGGAGTAAAATTGGCGTCGTCTTTCTTCCTGTTGGACAAGAGATAGAACACGATTTAGTGCAGGAAGAGGATTATAGAGGAGTATTTGGGCACGAATAGCATCAAATGAGTTATGTAATCCCATAAGGAATTGCATAACCCTGCTTCTGTGATTATATTCCATCAGATTCTTGACTACACCACATGAACATGACGACATTGGTTCATAAATCTCCAGTTCATCCCAAAAACTTTTCAATCGGTTGTAGTATTGGCTAACCGAATCATCATCCTGTGTAAGTGCCGAGATGGACTTGGTGAGCTAAAAAATTCTTGGAGCATTTTGAATCGAGAATCGCTCGCAAAGACCATTCCAAACATCCTCAGTGGTTTCAGCATGAGCTATGCTTGATCTGTGTTCTAAGGCAACCGAATGTTGAATCCAAGCTATCACCATATCATTACATCATTCCCAAGGTGCATACAAGGGATCTGCAGTTTTTTAGGGTTTAGAGATTGAGCCATGATAAAACCAATTTTGTTTTTTATATCACCATATCATTACACATTGATTACTTCGATGTGGTAAAAATATTAACAGAGAAAGGAGACCCTGATTTTGATCATTCGGCTAATAATTTGGGGGAAACTCCACTCTATCTTGCTGCTGCCAGAGCACGCAACTCGATGGTGATACAAATATTAGAAAGATGCACATCAGCAGCCAATGAAGGACCCAACGGAAAGACGGCTTTGCATGCGGCAGCTATCAAGTGTTTTCCAAGTAAGTTGATTTAAGTTCAAAATATTACAATTTTTATCCCAATAATTATTATTTTAATTACAATTTTATCCTTTATAAAAAATTATTAAATAAGACATAAAAGATAATAGCTATTTAATTTGATTTGATAATTAATGTTTGTATAAAATCAATTTTGTTTTTAATTGGTGAGTTCATCTTATTTCATTATATTTTTAAATAAACTCATATTTACAATTGTAATGTAGTGATAATTGTTTCTGGATATGATGAATATTGGGTAGAAATAATGGAAAAAGAATATTAAATAAAATGGCTATATTTGAAATAGGTGGGGTTCATATATATGTAGATATTTATAATTTTATATATGCCTAAATTTTTAATGAGGTAAATGGCTATATGTCTAAATTGATAAAAAGTGGAGGCCAATGAATCACCCTATTATTAAATTTTTTAATTCTTCTAATTAACCCAAATGAATATTTCACTTAAATTTTACAATTTAAATACAATTCTTATATTCTACAAGTACTGAAGAATCAGAAATCAATCTATTATGTTCATTTACTGAAGAATCAGAAATTTCCTCTGCCTGTGTTATGATCATTAATCTCTCTTTCCTCAACACACACAGCGAATTAAAGAAGGCTAAAGTAGAACCATCTCGTCTTATAAGACTCTAGTTCTCTCTTAAGTTTTGCCGCTTCAGGATCCACGCTAACTTTTTGTAAAAAAAAAATCTATATCTCTATTTTCCGTTCGTATCTTTAGTGGAAGAATCGCCGAAATTTGGAAATGAAGAGTTCAGGAGTTAGTCCAGACAGTTACTTATAATGTGGTCATAGATGAACTTTGCAGAAAGGGAAATTGCACGAAGCAAATAGGTTGTCGGAATTGCTGATTCAAAGAAGTGTGGATCCCGACGTTTATACTTACAACATTTTAATGAATGGTTATTGCTTGGCAGATAGAATTGGTGATGCAAAGGAGTTGTTTGAATATATAACTAGAAAGGGGTATAACTAGCAGACAACATCAGGTCAATACCCCTTGTCTAGTTATAGAATCAAACAACTTCTTGTATCACCAATTTTATCTGCCAAGCAATAATCATTCATTGAAATGTTGTGAGTATAAACATCAGCATACACACTTTTTTGAATCATCCATTCCGACAAACTATTCGCTTCGTTCAATTTCCCTTGCTATGACCACATTATAACTGCGTCTAGACTAATTCCCCAACTCCATTTCCAGCCTTTCTAGTAACTAAATTAACTTCACTGAACAAGCCCTTAAAGAAAAAGTGTAGAATCTGCTAAAGGAATTGCCTTTAATTCATAAATTCATTCATTTTTCTAATAGGGCAAACCTTTGGGGAAGAATTCGGGGACTTTTTGCTGCTCTTCGCCACAATTATAACAGTCTTTAATGAAGACGAAGACGGAGAAGATAAAGCATAACCGCAACCGCCAAATGGAAATGTAGCTGAACGGTGGTCCAAGCTTCTGGAGTTAAGAAAGAATAACTAAAAAAAAAAAAAAAAAAAAAAAGGTCAGTGAATTATCAGGAACAAATAGTTTTGGAGCAGATAATTATCAGTGTGAATTATGCAGAATGTAAAGTTTCCAATCCTAATAAGCAGAAAATTATCCTAAAGGCAGTAACCTAGACGAAATCAAAGAACGAAACAATACTGAAGCGATCAGAGAAAAACTGATTCAATGATCAGAGAATTGAATAGCACTACATACACTTTACACTTTTTTGGGTTGCAGAGAAAATACCGGGAATTATTTTGTTTTCTAAACAACCAAACAGAAAGTCAATTATCAAGGGAAAAACAACGAAAAAAGAAGCAAAATTTAAACTTCTGTGTGTAGAGAACATTTATTAAAAAAGCAAAAACTAGATCCGACAAATAACAAAAATAAGAGCAGAAAATTAAAAAAAAAAAAAACGAAGATATCTGACCGACCTTGTTCGATAGAAGAGAGACGCTCGTGATTATTAGATCTGAGTTTTGTTGTTTTCATTGTTTTAGTGATGCAGGACAAATGGGCATCTTTTAAATGAATAATTCACAAAAAAATAAAATAGTACTAAACGGCATAGTTTCTAATCTTACAAACATGTTCCCAGAAAACCCTATAGGTTTGAAAAATTACAAACAGACCCTGCGATCTGAATTGATCTAAGAAAATAGCAAGATAAGCGGCGGACTTATAAAACCCTAGATCTGAGCAAATAGCAAGATTATATAGGTTTGAAAACTTATAAACAGACCCCTATGATCTTAATTGAGCTAAAAAAATAGCAAGATCCGCAACGGACCTAGAAAACCCTAGATCTAAGAAAATAGTAAGATTCCTAGATCTAAGAAAATAGCAAAATTACCAACAAACTTGAGGAGATTGATGACCACAATTAACGATCTGATCGTACAAGAGAAGATTCTGATACCAAGTTAATTTTTTGTGAAAGAGAAGGCTATGAAACCAAGTTAATTTTTAGTGAAAAAAGTCTACACATATAAACTATTTGATAGGAATACTAATTGCACTAACTTAATGATGTGGGACAAAAAAATAACCCGAAAAACCTAGACTATATCGTGAGCCCAAATATAATTGGCTTTAAGCCTAAATATATAATCATACAATTAACAAATGAAACATAAATAAATAAACCAAACTAGAATGCACATAAAAAATAAATGTTAGCGTATATATATAGTTTTGCTATATAAAAATATATATTCTTTTAAGATCAAGAAAAAAAAAATTGTGTTTTGTTTCTCATAGACGTCTAAGCCAATTTTATATTTGATCTTTAGAAATATCTTATCTAAATGTATTTTCTCTCAAGTTTCTGCATATTAATTCTACAATCATGTATTTTTTAATTTTATTTATCCCCTATTATGTATATATATATATAAAAAAAAAGTCTATCTTTTTATTTAATTTTTATATGCTCATGATTTTTTCTCATTAATTTATGATTTATTTGCTAAGTATGAAACACCCTTTTCTGTTGTTCTCATACCCCCGACTCAACACAAAGAAAACATAAACAGAGACAGAAGAAAGAATTTGAACAATGTAAAGAACTTAGAACAAGAGAAAGAACAAAGTATAAAGGAACGAAAAAACTTACAAGTTGACGCAGCGGAAGGCTCGGACTCGAGTGGTCAATTTCGAAAATATGATAGAGATAAATTCCCCAAAGGAAGTAATAAGAGACTATCGAAAACTTGAATGAATAACTAGGCACATAACAAACCTATTTATAGTTGACTAATCATAGTTCTACTAGGAAAAGTAGATAAGAAATCTTAATACTACTAAAACAATGAATTTGAATTTCAATACTACTAAAACAATGAATTTGAATGATAATACCGCTAAAATAATCAATTGAAATCCTAATACTACTTAAACAATAAAACATAGAATAAGAAATCAAGTAATATTCCTACATCACAAGTGAAGAGCGTAGAAGATAGAATACTGTATAGCCGTCAAAAAAATTAGAGCAAACGACATATTCCCACTTGAGGTTTAGCGAAATCCCAAATTGATACCTATGAATGCATTTATTTTAGATTCTCACCCTTAAAGTAACGCTTGTTTCCTTTATTTTAACAGATTCTTAACTTCTCACTATAGTGTGGTGCATGTTAGTATGCTAAAGTGCGCTGATGCTTTCTTTGGCTGAACATTAGCTCATTTTAGCAAAAAAATGCTCACATTAGCAACATTCAAGTAGGTGGTTTTTTGCTTTTTTTGGCCGATTTCAAAGTTCAAAATTACTTCCGCAACCACCGTTGGACTCCCACAACCTCCTCTACAAAGCTCATACCTTTTTTTCGACCTCACTCACCATTTCCAACCAATTCCAATCATCATCAACGGTGTTAGTTTAAGGGTGAGAATTAGGAATAAATACAACCAATAATATCAACTTGGGATTTCCCTAAACCTGGGTGGGAATTTGTCGTTTACTCAAAAAATTATTGGAAAGGGTTAAAGACGAGCGTTATGAATTTATAGTAAGTGTAGTCCAAATCCTGTTTAAATTATGTTTCCTGTTTCAATTTTAACTTAACTACTTTTTACTAAACTCTTTAATTTTTCCTAAAGGGACTCTTAACACTTTATTTTAATTTACATTCGAAGTGGAGAATGATCACACTCACCATACATGGCTCCAAAATTATGAAAGCATTTCTAAATAAGTGAGGCAGGGAGCCATTATAAATAACTACTATTTTCCAACACCAAATAATTGGTTTTTCACATTGCTCTTTGTGAATAATAAACCTTTGCTTATGTGAAAGTCTAGCATAGAAAATGTACATTTGTTTATATAAGAAAAATACAAGTATTATACAACAAGTAATTTATACAAGATTCAATGTCAAGATCATATCCCTTTTCTGTCCACAAAATAATGAGGAAGGAATGTGCTCAATAAATTAGCTAAGCTATTATAATTTATAAATGACATTCATTTTATTTCTCACTTGGCGTCAAGATAAGTCCATTAATGATTCACTTCGTTTCAGGAAAAAGCACCACATATAAGAATTGTTCATATATCTATCTCCCTATAACCATGAACCATTCAGATCTCTCCTACAACTTCCAAGCAAAAGGGAACAGAGTGACATCCAAGATTGAAGAGGTCAAACACAATCAAAATAGCAATTTTGTCCATGAACCCAAGAATGGAAAAACGGCGATCAGCAACCTCAACAACAATGGTTTGTCTCTCATTCTCCCTATCCTACTCAGTTTACCTTTCTTCTGGTGCTTTGGTGGAAGATTTCGATAACTCTGAAAATAATAGGGGAGGGGCTTAAAAAGAGTGTATCTCGTGGAGTTTAATGTGATTTTACCTACAAAATAGCTTCAGTAATGTCAAATCAATAGGTTTCCACTGAATCACTGATTAACTAACATGAAAATAAATTAAATTAAAATGAATAAAAATCCTTCAAGAATATATATCCATAAAGCCAACTTTATTAATGTTTTTTTGTATATAAATTGGTATGAAATAATGGAAGGGGATGATATGATATAACCTTGAAATGAAATNGTAGTACCGTCATATGGTTTCATGTTGGGGATAGTGAATTTCTAGGGCATGTCAGCCAGGGCGATCTCATCCACAAAGGGTGAATCAGCGTAGCAATTCGGTCTGCTCTTCTTGGTTGGGACTGGCATCCCTGGGATGCGCCTCATTACTGCCTCAACGTCGGCCAGTCTTTTGGCCAGTAACTATTCCACAGGGGAAGGGGATACTATCGGGTCATCCCGTCTTACCGGGTCTGGTACGTTCTGTGGGGTCATCCCTCGGGGGGTAGTCTGATAAATCAGTCCGTCGTGCGCTCCTTGGTAGCATGTGTCTTCGTTCATCCCTTCTGGTTGGATGACTCCCATTGTCACTGTTATATTGTTCCTCCCCACATGAATGGTCAGGGGAGTTATGTGGTAGTCGTTCGGTCCTTCGGGATGGATGGGTTCAGGTGCTGGAGTTGGTTTGGTTTGGCCATTCGACCCGCGAGGGTGAGCCGGGCCGGATGGGGTTTGTGTTTGGGTTGACTGGAGGTGAAATGGTATGGTGGGGATGGGTTGATCCTTCGGGTTCTCTATTGCTGGATCGTTTTGGTCATGAGGTTGGGATGGATCGACTGGACCGCGCACTGTTGTATCTTTATCTCCATTAGTCAGAACGGAGTAGTCGAGCGCCAGTGCGTTAAACTGACGCAGCCCTTTACCGGAATCCGAGGGTCGATGCTCTGGTGTGGAGAGGGGTTGCATGGATGGGATAGTGGTGCGGAACCGATTGAGGGGTGCTTGGTCAGGCAGAAACTCGAGTTCATAGAATCGGCTTACTTTCTCTTTGAGCGACTGGTTCTCGACCCTGATGGATGTGTTTTCGGCTTCCAGTACGGCCACCTTGTCTAAGTTTTGTTGCATGAGAGCGGTCAAAGCCTCCAGTCTGGCCTCGAGGCCTGAGTTAACGTCGTCTAGATTGTCAGCCATGGAATACTCCTCCACATGGCAAGGTTCGTCACGCCGAATGATTGCTAGCCCCACGGTGGGCGCCAAACTGTAGACGTAAAAATCTACCTGTACGGAAAGGAGGGTCTGATCCCGTGAGGTTGATGCCACTAGCGATCTGCTGTACCTGCACACGTAGAGAAACACACGCGTGAAGCGAACGGGAAACACCAGGGTGGTGTTTGCCGTAGGCACTCCGACGCTCAAGTCAGTAAGGCTTAAAGGCTTAATATAGTGAGGGCTAGGGAATTAGAAATTACCGGAAGTCTAGTCGGGGACCGTGACTACGGCGAATAAGTGAAACTCTCAAGTAAAGAGTCTCGGGTATGAAGGGGTAATGTCGATGTCCCCTGTGAGAGGGCTGACCTCTGCTTATATAGTGATTGTCTGGTCTCCCAATCCTGGTAGAAGTAGGAGTCTTAGTATGACTCTGATGTCAACCCTAGAAGAATCAGGGCCATAACCAGCTGTCTTATCAGCGTCCGGATAGGAAGTTAACTTTGATTAAGAGGATAACTCCGAACAGGAAAGTGATCAGGAATGGGAGGTGAGTTCGTGGGTTCTATACTCGCCCATAGACTTGAGAAATGGGCTTGGATTAGGAGACTCGTGCCCACGTGGTTCGGCCCGGCTACACATTGTACCGAATGGGCTTAACGCGATAGGGTCATCAGGATTGGGCTTCGCTGCTTCTTCAGTGTCACGCCTATTTTTCTATTTGGGCCAAGGACGATTTTTTGCCCTAACAAAAGTCTAGCATAGAAAATGTACATTTGTTTATATAAGAAAAATACAAGTATTATACAACAAGTAATAAATACAAGATTCAATGTCAAGATCATATCCCTTTTCTGTCCACAAAATAATGAGGAAGGAATGTGCTCAATAAATTAGCTAAGCTATTATAATTTATAAATGACATTCATTTTATTTCTCACTTGGCGTCAAGATAAGTCCAATAATGATTCACTTCGTTTCAGGAAAAAGCACCACATATAAGAATTGTTCATATATCTGTCTCCCTATAACCATCAACCGTCCAAATCTCTCCTACAACTTCGAAGCAAAAGGGAACAGAGTGACATCCAAGATTGAAGAGGTCATACACAATCAAAATAGCAATTTTGTCCATGAACCCAAGAATGGAAAAACGGCGATCAGCAACCTCAACAACAATGGTTTGTCTCTCATTCTCCCTATCCTACTCAGTTTACCTTTCTTCTGGTGCTTTGGTAGCTCGTTTTCGATTTGACTTGCTGAGCTTTTAGCGGCTTTCTCGTTTCCAACTTTCTTGTCTAGCTCATCCCAACCACCAAATCTCGGGCCACTTTTGCCATCTTTCTCATATGAACCACCGTCTGTTGCCACCCATGACTGATAACTTCCCCTACCTTTGCCAGCCTCATTTTCTTGTTTAACCTGGCTTGTTTTACTATTTCTTGTAGCTCTTGCAAAAGGTTTTCTTCTGCTCTTGGTCCTGGATCTGGATTTTGGTTTATTGCTTGCACTCCCCCAAACTTTATCAACTGCAAGAGAGACTAATGACTGTCCTAGAGGAACTGCTAGTGCCATTAAGAAGGCATTGGGGCCTGTTCCCAACAACAATGATATGGCAATGGCTGGAAAAATCCAACCAAAAGCTCTAAGTATCTGCAGATGGTAGCAAATTATCATGAATTCTGTAAGGGATCAACATGACATAAATCTAAAATTTTCAAGTATACTTGATATATGGTAAGGATATAATTTACTGCTTGGGAGAACTAAAACTGAACAATATTGGCAAACTGCAAATGAGCTAAATAAAGGGTCAGAAGAATACAGCGCAAAATGAAAAGGCACAAGACTTGCATGTATTGTCAAGGAAGTTTGATAGTGGTAGCAAGTTACAGTAAAGCTTCATTTTTCTTTAAGCTTTTCGAATTTAGCTATTCACCACCTTACCCTCACTGCTATCATAAGCATTCATCTAGAAGTAAACAAGTAGGACAGAAACATTTCCCACACACCACAGTCCGCAGTCTTACATCCCTAGGATAACTGTACTACTAAGCAAAGCAAATAATTTCAACATGGCAGAATACTCTGGAAATTGTACTATTTACTCCTTTATATTAACCCACATAAAATTTTGTTGACTTCCACAAAAGTCAGCGTGACCTGCTAATAGTAGAAGAGTTCTTTGAATTAAGAACCATTTACTGCCCTTTCTGTTTGATAAGTTATGTTACTAAAACTTCTTAAGTTCTTGAAGTTGTCCTAGCAGCAAATATAAGAAAAAGGGAAATAATGATGTAGAAGATGGATATACAAATTTAAAGTCTCTCCCTTGACCAATCATCGCGTCACAGCATAATAATCAAACAAATGGAATTTAACTAATGTGTTATGCCACAAGAAATTTTGCAAATACCCTGTAAGTACTTTTGATGCTTTATGCTTGGTTCATTGTTGTCAAGTATGTACTAACTTACAAAAATGTAGCGATGCAAGTCGAGAGATAAGTGATTAAATTAGTATAAATTTCTCCCAATCTTTCCCTTAGGTACCCTTCTGTTTTCTAAAACCCGAATGACCTGCCCCATAAAATGAACAAAGTGGACAGCTGAAGTTCTATGCTTGGCGAAGACAACTGCTTTTGGAATGAATTTCAGCTAATATGGATCTTACCAAGCATAGTGAAAACTTAAATTGTTTATAATTGATCTCAACTGCAGGATTAGCAAACAGAACAAGATAATATCAAAGATTTTTCTAAGAAAATTATTTATAAGATTTCAACATGCTTCAAATATAATTAAAAGAAAACGTAAATTTTTCCATAGGCACCTCATTCAATTTTATCACATTTCTCTGCTATCTAATTCAAGCAACTAAGTAACCGAAATTGAACTGAAACAATTACTAATTCAAACAATTTCAAGAACAAAAAAGAAAATTTTATTTTATAATTACCTTAAAAATCCAAAACTCATCTTCCTCATCAACTTCCCATGGATTATCAAAATCAAAATCACTGTCCTTTTCGGACCACCAGATTCTCTGCTTCGTGGAGAAACCACCGGGGTGATCATCAGTGTCGGAGTAAAACCCATCATCTTCGTGATTGAATCTGGAGCGTCCAGAGGGTGTGGGTCCGGCGTTGGCGTCCCATTTAGAGCGGTATTTCACAGGGCAACAACTCCAAAATTTAGTGTTGGTAAATGTGTTGGGGTTTAGTGAACAGGAAGTGAAGGGCGTGTGAGGTTGAAGTTGAAGAAGAAGAAAGTGAAACTGAGCTTGAGCTCCCATGGCTTCAAGACTTGCTTTTTAAAGGATAACATAATAATAATAATTAATTTATGGAAGAAGATAGGCTTTTCTATTTGTTTTTGTTTTCTGGAAGTATTTAAAGAAAGGGTGTGCTTAGTAATTCTATTATGCCTATATTAGTTTTTTATAATAATTAAAATTGCTTTTCTCTTTGGCTGAAATTAAATCATAGAGCTTCTTAAAATCAGAAATAAAATATTTTTTTTTATTTTTATATATTAAATATGCTTTTTTAATTATTCAATTAAAATGACTTGTTTGATCAAACACTTTCAATGCATTAAACAACTTTGAACTAAAGTTCAAAATCCAACACATACTTCATATTCTTAGATAAAGATATAAAAAATTAATCTTTGGTGCGAATATTTGAAGTTTTTAACGTAAAAACCAGCTTCACGAAATGCAAAATGAAAGACAGCAATTAATTTATGTTTTATACATCAAGAACTTAAAAACATATGTAACTTGGAATTTTGAATAAACAATATTACACTTACAATCTAATTTTATAAATTTTCTCTCACAACCTCAACTTGACAGTTTGTAATTGGTCAGCTCGCAATAGTTCCTACCTGCAATGGGTCTCACCTGTCACATTGCAAACTGATCAATTGCGAACTGTCATATCGGGGTTGTGAAAGAAAGTTTGTAAGATTGGGTTATGAGTCAATCTTTATTATTTTCGAATATATATATTCAAAAACAGTAATGCTAGGTTCACAATCTTCTCTCACAACCCCAGACATGACAGCTCATAATTAGTCAACTCGCAAATGGACAACAGAACCCATTTATGAGCTGACCAATTACAAGCTACCACTTCAGAGGTTGTGAGATTGAGTTGTGGAACTAGCATTACTCATTCAAAAAAAGACACTAAATAGAATATCTCCAAATTTGCTTTTTTTTTTTTTTTTTTTTTTTTTTCTTATAACCAAGATATTTGGACCAGTTTACGTGCAACTAGACTAATCCTTGTGGGAGACTAGTACAGCAACCCACCGTCACGATCCCTCACTTAAATCACAGATACTAAGATGGAGAATCGAACCTGAGACCGTGCGTTTATCCACACTATCACCAATTTATCCTAACCATGTGAGCTACCCAATAATGAGTGAAATTTGGTTATATTGATACGTGGAAGTTGCTATATTTGTGATGCAATCTATATTTTTCTTGAATTTCAACAAACAAGATTACTTAATTGATTTAATAGCAGATAATTAATATAAATATGTGAAAGTTTAGACATAAATCTCAATTTATTTTCTGAACCTCACAGTTAAATTAATGTCTTATACTATACCATATACGCATAGCATATAGTTAAGATTTCTACAATTCAAAAATAATTCCAAGAAACAATTTAGATGATTGGATTTAAGTAATAATAATTAGATAAATCTAAAATTAGTCTTCAAACAATCACAATCACTTTCTCTTTATCTTTTGATATACAGTAAAAAGAGAAAAAACCAAAATAAAAAAAAATAAAAAATAAAAAATTGGAAGAATCGACTTAATTTGTCTAAGATTCTTGTTTACAGTCATTCTACAAAACCAAACTCTTCAGAAATCACAACACCTTCTACTAGCCAGCTACTTCAATACATTTAGAAAAAGCCTTTGTAAATCTAAATCAAAGTTCAAAAGTATCATCCTCTTCCAAAATTTGCCTTACTGCTTCGCTCTCTTCTTCATCATCAATCACTAAATATGGATTCTTCTCAACCGGCCTAAAATTGTAGTAAATGAACATATAAAACGCCAGGCTCGCTCCCTCCGCCGCCGCATTCATAATCCATTCATATCTGTAATATACAGTCGCCCCTATTGCAGGAACCACAATTCTTGTGAAATATAAATATCCCACCACAACAATGTAGAATTGCTTGAAAAGGGTTAATTTTTCCAGGTTCTTAGCCGCTTTTCCATCTGTTTTTGATGCCTCTTTCAGGCTTCTTATCGACCAAATTATCGGAAAAAATACAGCACAGCAACAAATGATATCAATCAACAAGAACATATGATTCCAGGCCATCCAATCTCTTGTTGAAGGTCCAGTTTCATTGATCACAACATAAGCTATGTTTTCCAGAACCTGTAAAGGAATTACTGTCATCAAAACGTTTTTTTCGCGTTCCTGAAGGTATGGTTTCAGGAATGACCAGCCAGTGCCTATCAGGATTATCACAGTGAACAACATTATGCCTTTGAAGAATCCGAAAATGTAAAATGCCACATCCCAACCGTGGGGAGTTCCAGTATTGCTCACATACATTTTGTCCTCGGAGGCACAGATCATTTTCAGGGCCTTTACAAGAAGCAATGCAGCCATTATCATATGGATTTTATCAACTGTTTGTCTTTCTTTGATGCAAATGTAAACCCACAAACCGAAAAAACATGTGTAAATGAGGAAGAAAATGAGATGAAGTTTTGGTAAATGTGTTTCCCCTGCAGGGAGATAATCTTTTGCACCATCTTTCATATTATACATTTCAGTTTCAACATCCATGGAGACCTGAAATTCGGGCTGGCAGTTTCCGAAAAGCAAAATATATTCATCAGGATCATCGATGGCTACAGAACCGGCATAGGTTGAATTAGGCACAAATTTTTCTATTCTGTAGACCAATTTCACATACCTGCTTGATAAAACACAAAAGTCAGCAGTGTACTCAGACTCATTCACAATTTTCGGAAATGCAATGTCCCTGGCGAGGAAAAATCCCAGGGAAGAAGGTTTGAGTTCTGCATTTGGTTGTTTTGTTTTCCATGAAATATCCCTGATGGTAATAGCCGTCTTGCCACCTTCTGCAAATCCGAAACGCTCGAATATGATCATCGACCGCGAATCATCGATAATGTGAGTGTTCTTGATCTCAGAAAAGGAGCCTGGAATGCTAGAGATGATGATGAATAATGCAAATAGCATGTAGTATTTGAAATGTTCCATGGTGTTATAGGGACTGAAAATTTTTTGGGGACGACGAGAGATAATTAAACAAATATTAGTGAAATAATGGTAGAGGTGAAAACATGCAGATGGATGTGAGGTTTTCCATTGAATGGTGCCTAGATTTGAGTGGTTAATAGTTGTGGTATGAATAAAAGAAAAATGATTGGCCTGGCAAAGATTTGGGGGAGTGAAGGAACAATCTTAAGACATGTGTTGAGTTTGCACTAATACTAGTAATGAAATTTTGTGTGTTAGGATTGTTATGTTAACAGGAACGATAAGAGTTAATTAATAATATGAAATCATACTTTTAGCAAAATAAAATATACCTAAGTACAATCTTCTTATCATAGGTTTTAATTTTGAGCAATAGAAATACTCTAACTGTTCAAACTGAAGCCCATTAGTTTATTATGGGCTCAAGCCTCAATATGAAGCTACAAGCCCAATTAATTAAGTAATCAATTCTAAATTAATCTCACATTGGCAAAAGAAAAATTTGGTTTCATTTCCATTATAACAAAATACTCAATTGAAATAAAAGTATAGAAGAAGAAGAATATTTTTTTTGATACAATTATATTCCCATTTAAACTTGGTGACTAGAGACAAAAATACTGATAGCTAAAAATTACATCCTACTATTGGGTCACAAACATTGTGATATGACCTCACAAAGACACGAGAAGTATAAGGTCGAGAGTTTATCACATGTAAGTTTTTTAGTGCCTACCGACAAAAAGATAATTGTGAGTGACATAAAGTAGATAGTTTATCATACCCCATGCATATCATTAGTAATGAGAGCTAGGTCATTTTATAAGTGTAAGTATATTAGGTAAGGACACTTGCTAATTTGATTAGACTCAATATAATTATATCTAAGAATAAAAATAGACAGACAAACACTTTTCACTAATTTTTTTTCACAAACGAGATGTGATAGTTCACAATTGATCAACTTGTATTTGGTTAAACAGGACTCATTACAAGCTAATATATCAAGTTTGTGAGAGAAAATTAGTAAAAAGTGTTTGTCAGTATAGTATTATTCTATATCTAATAAGTTGAACCTAATAAGTTTTCATATATATTTAGTGTATGCTTAATGTTGGCTAGAACTCCCTCTTTGAAATGTGTAGGGTAGGGACTCTAGATTGCTTGACAAATGATTCCCTCTTTGATTTCAAAACCATATCAATTACGATTCCTGAAACTTGTCACCTTTTTATCACTTTTTCTTCTTTTCTTTTCGGATACGTATAAACACAGTGAAAGAATTATTAGAAAATAGGAACACAGACTACTCTAAGCTTTAAAAGAATGGGATCAAGTTAAGTTCCCATCAACATGACAAAAATTGGGTGAGACATATTTGTCATAATTGAGTGCATGTCCAAAATGCAAGAATATGTCTTTTATTGCTTCTTTTTAGTACTATTTAGTCTCTATTAGGATAGAAAATTTTGATGATTTTACAGTGAACACATGCACTAGTAGATAATGCTAAGCTAAGGCTTCTCTCATGAGTCATGTGGCCAATAAAGAAGATGATCTTGTCAAATCAAATCATGTGGTTTAAAGATTGTTCCTTTAAGTCAAATTGAATGAGAATATCCTTCAATATTGGCAAAAAGATAGCTGAGACACTGGCATCCACTGGATCCTAAACCACTAAATTTTGCAAGAAATCCATCTTTTTCAACTCTTTTTTGGCAATAAATTAACCATTGGAATCATTTTGAGAGAGGAAGGAAAGTTCTGGTGACCTATATACTATTGGTGTTGCTTTGTGAATGATTGTTGAGTATGACTAGCATTTGCTTAGAAAGAAGATTGGGACCTTCGTATTGCGAATCATGTTGAAGATTGGAGGAGTATTTTTAACTCAACAAGCACATTCCAACAAAATTATAACATAAAGTTTGTGCCTCAATCAATTTTCATATATAACATCACTTAATTCCATCTCACACCTACAAAATTCGAAAAGTATATTATAAACTTTTTAAGAGAGAAGTTTTTGTATATGTGTCATATACTTTGTACACTTTTAACAAATGTGGAACAATTTTGCAATACTTTCCAAAAATTATCAATACTTATGCGTTGATGCTTGATTTTGGACACCAACAACTTGCACGCGCAAAGTGCTAAGATAGTCTTAGAAGTTACACATGATGGATCCATGAGATTTGAATATGGTGTTGAGATTATATATGTTGCAGAAAATATAAATAATAGGCTGACAAGAGAGATTTTTATAGTGGTTCAGATGCTTAAAGCAAATTCTACATCCACTGTTATTTTATTGTTCTCTGACTATTTCTATGATATTGCCGTAAGACATATAAAGATGAAGAAATACTTTGCTTTACAGAGAGAAAGAATGAAGCTCAAATATATGTCTAACTCTCATATGCCCAACTTCTCTTTTTCATGAAGAGAAGTGTCAATTTATACACATATGAGGTCAATGTAATGAGTGTTTTGTAAGCTCCTTGACACATGGACAGCTCTCATCCGTTCTTCTCTTAAAATGAAATAGGGTTGGTATAAGATATCTTTGAGGCGGTATGGGCTTGACAGGAAGTACAATTTGTCTTTTAGGCACTTGTTGAGCTGACATCAGCGTGACTCTTTAGGCATAACATTATGATTTTTGAAAAGTACTAAAAACTTCTTAAAAGATCAAAATTTGGTTTAAAATTAAAAATCCCACCACAAAATTACTAAAACTCTCCATGCTCCTACCAATTATTGAAGGTTTGTGAAACTTAGGAAAATATAATGGACACCTACAAACTTAAAAGAGATTAATTTTTCTTTTAAAAATATTAAAAAATTGTCTGAAAATTATTATTATTATTATTACTCCATGCTCCTACCAATTATTGAAGGTTTGTGAAACTTAGGAAAATATAATGGACACCTACAAACTTAAAAGAGATTAATTTTTCTTTTAAAAATATTAAAAAATTGTCTGAAAATTATTATTATTATTATTATTATTTTTTGGTGACCGGTGGTGTTCGGACTAATTTGTTCGCACCTCGACTAATCTCCTGGGCCCTAAAGTTGACAATCGGATAAATCTTCCTAGTAGCCACCCCTATTAGTAACCCAGATAGATTAAACTTAGGACTTCTTGAGTAATACAATCAAGAGTCTTAGTTGACCGTTGGAATACTCAATGGCGGTTAAATTATTATGTTCCTTGGCTCCACCTAAAGCAAACTAAAAATCTGATGAAGAAAAAATTTTATTAATCTTCAACTTTACAATAATAGACATGATATTGTCTTTTTATACAAATTCTTTAACTATGATTATCTTAACTAAAGTTACAAACCAACTCTAGTTAACTTTTCACTTTAAAGTCAATATCTTGTTTTAATCATCATTCAACTTCACCCACCTACCATTTGTCCGAAAATATATATTACATGCCCCTACGCTTTTTGGAAAGTATTACTAACTCTCATAAGAAAGTATTTTTTGGTATAAAAATATCAAAAGCCCCTCTACAAAATCAAAAAAAAAAACTCTTCACCTACCAATCAATTATCAAAGAGGTTTGTAATATTTTTCGAAAATATACTATGAGCACCAATGTTTTTCAGAAAGTATTACAAACTTTATCAAAGATCCGTCTTTAGCATAAAAACATTAAGATCGCTCCTACAAAATTATCAAAAATCCTCTTAGTAGATGTAAAACAGGTCTATAATACTCTGCGAAAATTATGAAAAAGCAAGAATTAAACCATATTTTCTACAAGATAGATGATAATTATTTTTCTTTTTCATAAAAGCTTGTTTGGAAGAATCAAGATCTTGACGATGAAACCGCATTAGATGGAGGCTATAGCTTTTCACATGCAATCATTAAAGAGTCTCCGGAAAAGAATGGTGTAGAGAAATTGATTAATTCTTTTTAATTTTTAATTATCATACTTCATTGATACCTTAAAGAAGTGGGTTCCCACAATACAATTCTAAATCTTCAAATTAAGGATCATGAATTCACTTTTTGTTTGGAATGGTTTTGTTGGATTTTGTTTCTTTCTTGTATAATATTAACACTTTTATATAAAAAGAATATTGAAGTCATACATAAAGTAATAATAAAATAAAAAAGAGTTGAAGGTTCCATTGCTGACTGAAAGGGCAAACTCAGAATATGCGCAACTTAAAAGCGCCTCTAGTTTCCACTAAGTTTTGTCCCTCAGTGCTCTTTCCAAAACATCCATTTCTAATAACATAAGCTCAACTTTATAAAAAAAACAAATAAAAGAATAGAAAAGAGAAGAAAAAATATTGTTGTGAGGATTAATTAGGGTTTAGTATTCCAAAGAGAACTAAAGAAAGAGCAACAAAGTCGGGAAGTAGGAGCATATGTTTAATATATTAATGGTACCTTAATTCTACTTTGATTGAATGTCACATTAGAAGAGGGATCTTTTATGAATCATGCTGCAGTGATAACGTTAATTAAGTTACAATAATAATGTCATCTTGTAGTTGGATATTTGAGAGAGGTTTTTTTATATCATCGAGGGTGTTAATTTTATTTGACAAATTAAGAGACCGTTGAGTCTCGAATGTACCAACGATTTTTATAAATTATTAAACAGTCTTTGTCAAGGGATTTATATACCCTTATAAAGGTTTTTTTTTTTTTTTTTTTGGGATATTTTTAGAGGGATTTTGATATCTTTAAGAGTTTCATTTTTATATACTTTTAAGTGGATTTTGGTAATATCAAGTGAAATTTGATAGTTTTAAAAAATCATTGGACTTTTAAGACTTAACAGTCTCTCAAGGATAGATAAAATTAACTCAATATTAAAGGTGGCTAAATAGAAAACTAGAAACTTGTTTTTGAGGGATAACCATAATTTAAAGCATAAATAAAATGAAAAAAGAAAATATATTATTGATTTTGTTGATGTGGAAAAATTAAATTGAGTACCTTTGATGAGTTTTATTTTTTAA